TAGATGGTTGAAGCAAGGATACTTCGAGTCGATCATGCCTACCATCAAGTATATTCCGGGCAAGGCGAATGTGGTTGCAGATGCAATTTCACGAAGCTTACCTCCTTTGGTGGACACAGCAGTGCAGGCACAGGTCAACAGTGTGGTGACCACGTGTTTGAGTGATGAGGAGAGAACACAGTGGATTCAAGCATTGCATGATGATGTTTTTGCACAAGCAAAGTTGAAGCTATTGCAAGACGAGAGAACAATGCGTGATTTTACTGTGGATTCAGCTGGTCTCTTGTACTTTGAGCCTGGTCAGCAATCGCGTCGACTTGTGGTTCCAGCCAGAGAGAGGCAACGTGTTATGGCGGAGCACCACGATGCCAAAACTGCTGGACATTGTGGGATAGAGCGGACAAGAGAGCTGATTCAAAGAGACTTTTGGTGGAGAGGTATGAGGCAGGATATCGCCCATTATGTGAGAACTTGCCCTGTATGTCAAGTAATGAAATCAGAGAATAGGGCCAAGAAAGGCTTGCGACAAGCAATCCCTCTACCTACACAGAAATTTGAACAGTTGACTACCGATCTTGTGACAGATTTACCTGAGTCCAAGGGCTACACTGCAGTGGCTGTGTTTGTCGACAGACTGACCAAGTTTGTGAAATTTATTCCGTGCCGGAAGGAATTGACGGCAGAAGGTTATGCTGAATTGTTTTTGCAACACATCTTCAGGCAGTTTGGAGTGCCAAGAATTATCATCTCTGATCGTGACCCAAGATTTTTGAGCAATTTCTGGCAGGAGTTGTTTCGTTTGCTTGAGACGCGCCTCAATATGTCCACAGCATTTCATCCAGAAACTGATGGACAGAGCGAAGTTTCGATACAGAACCATGGAGAATTTTCTTCGTCCATACATTGAGGCACATCCAGAGCATTGGGTTGATCAGCTTCCATTGGCAGAATTTGCTGCAAACAACAGCATGAATCTTGCAACAGGATACAGTCCATTCTACCTTCTGTACGGTCAGAATCCTGAGGTACCTGCGAGTTTGTTTACCTCACGTCAGCAGGCAACGAACATTGAGTCAGTTGAGACTATGTTGAAGCGGATGCATACAGCTATCAGTGATGCTAGTACCAGTTACAAGCATGCTCAGGATCAGATGATCAAGACAGTCAACAAGCGAAGGAGGGATGTACAATTCAAAGTGGGTGATGAAGTAGTCATCAGGACATCCTTTTTGCCCGAACAGGCTTTTGCTCAGATTCCGCCCAAGATTCGACGTCGATTTGTAGGACCGTTCAGAATAGTGAAGGTCATCAGTCCGGTGGCGTACACTGTTGATTTGCCAGCCACATGGCGCGTGCATCGTACATTCCATGTGGAGAAGTTGAAGCTTTTTGAGAGGAGTTCAGAGTTTCAGCGGAATGTCGATTCACCCCCTCCACTGGAGATAGAGGGGCACCTTGAGTACGAGGTTGAGGCTATCATCCGGCACAAAGGTACAGGAGCGAGGAAGCATTACCTTGTGGCCTGGAAGGACTGCCCACTGCATGAGGCTACGTGGGAGCCTGAGTCCAACCTTACTCATTGCAGCGATCTCCTTTCAGAGTACTTGCAGCGTCAACAAGCAGTAGCACAGAAGAACACTCGAAGTCGAAGGAAATCAACGAGACGTTAGTGATGGGCCTGCATGGAGTTTGGTGCAGTTGTTTTTGAGCATGATATGGGACACTTGGAGTGCTATGGGACACTCTGAATATCTTGCTTGATGGCAATTGTTGGTATGCTGGCATCTGTCGTTTCGCCTTTGATTTCAGTAGTGTCGTGCTTGTGTTTGCGGACAAACACTTTGCCCTGGGGGGAGAATTGATGCCGGTGGCACCACTCACATTGGCTGGTAGTACATTAAATTAGTTGTACATTAACATTTGTACATTATATATTTCATTATACGCTGATTGACAGGTTAAGTGTGCGCGGAGCACACTCTGTAACGTCTCTCGTTGGGTTTCGCGCTCTCTCGCACGCAGCCCGCGCGTGGTCCTCGCTAGGACCCGCATCACAAACAGTGGAACAATCACCGCATCAAATAAGCCACTAAATGGTGCACGAGTTTGTGCTTCCACTGGTAAGCTATTTCACACACTGCATACTGTAGTTAACTTGTTATTAAAAATCAACTCCATATGATTCAATTTCATTGCTATTGCACTTTTTCAACTCATTTTCAAACTCGTTTGTATTCAGCTGCTTCTCAAGGCCTTGAAAGAACCATCTGGATAGTCCATGTGACCTAGAGGTGGCCACTCAAAGATGCCATCCAGTCCGTTAAGTCCGGTTCGTTAATTTTTATCAGCTGTCCGTTAAATTTCGTTAAAGAAAAAGGGATAAAAATTCAGAAAAAACGAAAAAAATCCAAAAAAATCGAAAAAACCCCAAAAAATCACAACAACTGCGGCTAGTTGAAAATCTAGTATGCATAGGTTGAAATAAAATATAAACATACTCTCTAATAACGAATTCCATACACTATAAGTATGACTAAAACCCAAAAATCCCCCAAAAATTCCAAAAATCCGTTAATTTTTGGTTAATTTTTGTCTTTTTTCGTTATTTTCCGTTAATTAGCGGAAAATTTACGGAAATTAAGCTCTGTCCGCTATTAACGGATCCGGGTGGCCACCTCTAATGTGACCACCCGAAGCCGTGACGCCGGGTTAATCAGAGGACGCCACATGCACAGCGCGTGTATTGGTCCGAGCTTGTACAATCATATACTACCGGCTAATATAAGTGGTACCACTACCATTATAAATATATTGATATAAGAGACATGCTATCATGCCAATTTTGAAGGACTCAAGCATGGTACAAACTCATCACGCCAGTTCTCCAACATCACTGACCTCTACTGAAATTTAAATCCATGTTTTGGAAGAAATTCTTTCCATAATTTTGCTAGGGATACATTTTTTGCAGAACGTGCAGTAGCAAAATCAACCATTTTAATTTATTCCAAAACTCTCAAGAGGCTTGCGTTTGGTTTGTCGCTATGTTGGTGAAAGTGAGATGCATTATCTCTTTTCTGTTGTTCTTTCGTCTGTATGCATTGAAGTCACTCGAACGTATTTTGTCATATTAAATTTGATCAATCTTTGCTTCTATCCTGCTCATATTTCAGTAGTGAAGTTGCCTTTAATGTACCCATCATGGACAATATCTTTTGGATAATTCGGGTTTCGAGGATTCTAGAATTCACTGGTGCAAATTCGCATATTGTCAATGAGCGTATCATGCACACCGCCCTTTCGGGCAAATGTGCAGCAGACAACCACGTTCTAAGGACATAGGCTATGTCACATAGTTGCCAGCATAAGGATTGCCTTGATGTGTTGTGTTTCTTGAATTGAGTGGAAGCTTGAGTGGCAATGCATGGTTTTCTCATGCCTGTCCTGAACACAACGCACAATTCAACTCTGAATTTTGCTGGTACCATTTAGTGGAGTGCAGGTTGGGTAGCAGCCGGCCCATCAAGTTGATTTGTGTCCTAGTCTAGGCCCTCGGTATTACCGGATTGCAGAAGGCAACATTAAATGGCGCTTTTCTGCAATCTGCGATCTTTTCATCGTGCCCAACAATTAACAAACCAACTTTTTATCATCTATATCATTCATGGAAAGATTTGGGATCCACACCAAAATATGTACCAATGCACAAGTTGTTTGCTTCCTCACGCCGAGCCCATAAGTGGCGAGCGTGGGCTACCCTGAAATGGACAGGCTGGGCAATGATCCTACAAAGGGCTACCTGGGCTGGGTGATGATCATGTAAAGGCCTCTATGGGCCACCAAATTGAAACTAAGCCTTGGCTCGCTTGAAAATGGGTGCACCGATCCCTCATCCTACATTCAAACTCAGTTTCTGGATCAACGGGTCCAAAATTGCTTGGAGACCAACTGACAAAGGTGGCGAACGTCACGCCCACGCCCGCTGGTTCGAAAGCGGCCACCCCTTCTAGCAATCATTGACAGAAAGGTAATCACATGAACAGGTTCATCAACTATTCCCCCACAATGAGGCGAAGTCACATCATTATGGTTTCAAGGCGTTGAAGGCCATCTCTGGTCATGCGTGCAAGCCATGACCAGAGATGCCCTCAAGGACTTGAACCATCGGAGCCAGCAGGGCAGCTGCTGGGCGGGGCTCGAAAGAGAAAGCTCAATGTTGACCAACCACTGAGGCGAAGAGTGAATGCGTTTAAAGTAGGCGGCGGGTGTGAACTTCATCGGAGGACAGCCTCAGACGCGCCCGTATTTTTTGCCCAAAAGTGTCCGCGAGAAGCCACCTCGAAGTCCAGACGAGAGGGGACTGCCGCGTGCGAGCACGTGTCATCCTTGGGCCCAGCCCATTGGTCCGAGGCCAAAAGCCTGCCCTCGGCGACCCTCCCCCCGTTTCCGTGATTCCCTCGACCCTTTTCGCCCTCTCCACCACAAGGCCGCCCGTCAGCGCCCCGCGACCGGGCGCAAGCACAGTCACGCGCGGCCCCCGCCAGCCGCCCTCCGCCGCAGAGCCGCCCGTGCGGCCCACAGGCCCAGCCGGAGGCCGAGAACAACACCGCCGCCAACCCCCACGGCTCCACGCAGGCTCGGGGCACGTCGCAAAGACGTCACAGCATCCGGGCCGCCCGCGCCTGGGACGGGCCCCCCCCGCGCGATCTTAGCCGTCCGGAGCGCTGTCCGTAGGGGGCGCACGGGATGCCCAGAGAGGTGCGGGAAGCGCGCGGCGGACAGTCATCGCCGCCCGCTGCGGGGGAGGGGTGTATCGCCACGGCCCCCGGGCGCGGGGTGGCGGCGCCGGGCGGCCGGGCTGGTCGCAGGGCGCCCGGGCGGACGAGGATTGATTGGAGCGAAGCGCCGGAAAGCCTTGCGCGGTTGGGGTGCGGAGAGTGAGCGCGGCGGGAAGGGAGCGGTGGAGAAGTGGGTGTGGTGTTGCGTGGGCCTTACCAGTCATGCCCTCAGATTGGGACTGGCCCGCGGTGCGGCGTCTGCCGGGGATTGGGAACATAGGAGCGCGGGCTGGTGGGGGGCGGCGCGGCCGCCCGCTAGCCGCGGCCAGCCGCCTGAGCGGGGTGAATCGGATGGGCCGGGCCGCGGATGAGAGGGCGCGGGGCCGCGTCTGGGCAGGCAGCACCGCGCCGCTCGCGGGCGCTGCCTGCTGCGACCTCATGGGTGGCGATCCCTGGCGGGGTCGCCCGCCTGGCGACCGGTGGGGGATGACGGCGTGGTGTGGCTGCCCGCAGGCGATGGCGGACAGCGACCCTATCAGAAATCGGCTCGAGGTTTGGGAGGGCGGCGTCCCGTCGCTGCCGTCCTTGGATCATGGGAAGGTGTCCCAGCTGTCGGCCGCGGATTTCAAGGTCGTCTTCAAGTCCGGCAGCTTTTGGCCGTACCCCGCTGATGCAGTGAAGAGCATCGCGGTTGGAGCGCTGGGGCGCTGCGGGAAACAGTCAGAACGTAAGCCCCGCTGGGTGCCTGGATTCCGAATGGGGCTTTGCCTGCATGCAGCCCTCTGGCGCTCCACCTTGCCGCAGCTTCTGCCGCTGCAGAATCGCCAGTACCCCTCAACTGACAGCTGGCTTCTGTGCACAGGACTTTGCGCATGCTACCCTGGTGCATGCACCTGCTCCGCCACGATCCTGAACAACACGTCCTGCACATCATCGGAGCAAGAGAGTGGCGATGGCTGTGAAGAGACAACTGCGGCACAGGTGCTGGCGACTTTCACGAAGTTTTCCACTCCGTCCTGACGCTTGCACTGCCGAAGTATGACCTTCTATGGGATCTAACCTTCCCTTGCTTCCTGCAGAAAAAGAAGACTCGGAGGGGGACCAAGGCTGGAAGGCAGGTGAAGGAGAGGCGGATAAAAGCTACCGCCAAGCGAGAAGCCAAGGCGTACGCTGCGCTGGCCACCCCAGCGTTCAATGCACCGCCCCCTCCTCCCTTTGGCTACATTGCGCCACCCATAACGGTCCCACCCCCGTTCCACCTGGAGGTGGATGAAACTTCCGAGGGCGTAGCCACATTGCCACAGGGCTTGCTTGAGCCCCTGGTCAACAGAGAAAAGGAATAGGAGCAGCCGAAAGAGGGCCTTGCTCTTGGCCGCTCGTGATCGCATTGGAGCGCCAGGCCTTGGGAGCTGTGATAGTACTCCCAATTTTTGAGGTGCCATGCTTTGTAGGAGAGTAGGCAAGGCAACAAGGCTATATATCTGTGAGTGAGGATGTGGAGGCCACGACCAGGTGCAGCTGGAGCCATGTGGTGGACAGGAAGTGAGGACTGGCCATGGGACCCCATGTGGAGCACAGCATTGAGGAGCAATGCTGGTGTGTAGTGCAGTGGTGGAGGCAGCTTTGCCACCGATGTTGATGGCATGGTTGTGTGTGGAAAAGGTCCCTGTTTAGAAATTCGTGTTGTGCTGCAGCGAGGCTCACACTCGTGGGTACTGCTGGCACAGCCATGGTATTCGTTTTGAGAATAAAGACTTGGGACAGTGTGGTTTGGGGTGCGCAATCTGCATCGCATGTTCAGGTGCTACTATTCTTCCAGGGAGGGTTGGGAAATGCATCAGCAGTTGTTGTTGATTCACATTCCTAGTGGGTAGTGTAATTTGTTGCGCTTGGGCGATTCTCATTCGTGAAGTCGTGGCAGGCATGGTTGCCACATCGATGGCATAGCAATGTTGTTTTTGTGTACGATGGAGTCTGTCAACGTGGTTTTTTGTGGTAATGGGCTTCTTGCGGTGAACCCATGCACAATAACATCCATTTTTGCTGAGGTTGTAAGAATTCAAAGGAACGAAGTGGATCTGCCTGGAAGGAGAATATTGTAATGCTAATTTCTCCTGGAACCCCGAATGTGAAGGCAGTGACAAAAGGCACTGCCATAGATGCACAGTTGGAGACACTCATCAGCATGGAGTATTGCATGCCCGCTTCTACCACGAACCTTCCCTGGAATCTTTCCGCAAATGCTGCTGAATTGGTCAGTACCCAACCACAAGCTGCAAGCAGATGCTCATGTGTTGTAGCGGATGTCATTCTGCAAATAGGGTGTTTTTGGGTGTGTTAGCACATGCACAACCTATGGTTTAAAACTCCATGCCGAAGACCCCACCCACCCAACCTTACGTTGTATTCCAGGAGAGCAAGGGGCAAGAGAGCGAGAGAACAGCAGTGCGAGGGTGTCAGAATACCAGGTCATGATTGCCCATCGAAAGTTCTGTCTTTGGTAGTAGATGGCAGAGTGCGCATTGGCCGGCGTGCCTTGCGATATCGTGCAGCTGCAATCCTCTGCAGATAGTTTAGCTTTGAAGTTGGGCTGGATCTGGCCGGCGTGCATAAGCGTGGCTCCAGGCGTGTTGTAGCAGAGGTGTGGCAGCAACTCGATCCAGTTCAACGTGCAAGCCAAGCCCGGCATCCCTTGCCAGGATCACCGCGCTCGACTGGCGTGTCCTTTTCAGTCTTTCCGTCTGACCCCGTTCGATCGCTGCGCTGCCAGCCGTTCCAAAACCCCACCCCGCTGAACTGCCCGCAAGGGGCTGCCGAGGCGGGCCAAACCGCAGTCGGAGGGTTATGTCAGCGGCAGTCCCAAGCGCATAGAAAACGCGGACATTCTGGCATATTCTGGGCATTATCCCGGCTATCCCAGCCCCCATCTCAGGCGATCAAAAAACGGCTCAGCGCACTTGAGAGCTCGGCTTGGTCCCCCGCGCAGCTCCCACCATCCTGCTGGTGCTGAAGGGCGCCCGGGCTGGCGGGCGCTGCGGGCGCCTGACCGGTGCCCCGGGGGTGGCCGTCGGCCGTCGGGTCGTCGCGCCCACCGCCGAGCAAGCCGCGGCCGCCCATGGATGCGGGCCCAGGATCTCGCTGTGCTGGGGAGTGGGGCGGCGTCTGTCGCGATGACGCCCCCTTTGTCGCCGACCCAGATCACGGGGTGGCGACCATGGGCAGGCTCATGGAAGCACAGTACGCAGTGGCGGCTCTTTCGGACACGGTGGGTGTTTGTTCGCGCGCAGTCCCGGGCGCCATGTTCCGCCCCCTTCCCTGTTTGCGTCTGCGCCTGCGCCTGGAGGTCGCTGCTTGCCGCTATTGCGGCTGGGTGGATTGGAAATCCCGGCACTGATTGTGTGCAGCCTTGACGCGGCACCTCGATGGATGGGCGTGTTCCATGGGATTGGTGTAGTTTGGCCATAGTCCCCGCCCCTGCAGTCACACAGCAGCTGGTGGAAGCATGTGTGCTGCTGGTTCGCGTCCTGTGCGTGCGCCGCGTGGGCTGTCGCTTCCACTGCGATCAAACAGGTTTGATGGGGTTTGATGGCCAGCACGGGCTGACACCGAGCGGGCGATCGCATTGGCAGGTGCGCCATGTCATCGCAGGTACTTTTGCGCGAACCATGGCGCAGGCCTTCGTGCATCCTATAGATACAATCAAGACCAGGCTGCAGGTGAGGGTTACAAATGAAAGTTGAGCGGATGGGCATCACAGCCACAATTTGTCCGCGTGGAACAGTTAAATTTTTGAATGCCCGAAACACTCTTCAGGTGCGTCTCCCTGCCACAGTTGCTGACGCCCGAGTTTGTGGCCAATTCGAAGGTTCGCTCGCCTCCCGAAGCTGTGAGGCTGTGGAAGAAGAAAACGAAGGCCAGCGCCGTCGAGGTTCAGGTGGTCAGGAAGATATTCAAATTCCGCAATTATCTTGTCAAGGTGAATATAAGCGTGAACTGTTTGCGCACTTTGCGTTCCGTTGATCCTGGTGGCTGCCATATCTGCACGTTTTTCGTCTGACTGAAAGATGTCAAAATGGCCTCTATGTGTTGTGACGAACACCTCCACACCCCACTCGTTCTGCAGGGCCCTGCTGATGTGTACTTAGGGCTGACCGGAGCTATCCTGGGGACGCTACCCACTGCACTTGTGTACTTTGCAACGTACGAATGCACCAAAGAGTGGATGGCTGGCAGGAGCGAAGACGATAGGTATTGAGATCTCAAACGCGTACACTGTGGGATCTGTCAACAATTACAGACGCACAATACATCTCACTCGCCAGTAGCCACACTGGCTCCAGCAGGTGACACCTGCCTGCAACCTGGACTCCGCTGTGTCTTGCTGTGGAAGCTGTGCTGATCTTCTGACCTCTTCAATAAGTTTCTTTCTGTTGACCAGTGCTACACATGTTGCCCCTTTGAGGTGGTAATACGGAGCCATATGCTCTTCATTGAACACGCACAAGGCCAACTGCAACTTGGCGTTTATATGTATCTCAGCTGCCCATACACTGTACTAGGAGCCAGTGAAGTCCATGGTGGGCAATTTTGAATGTCTGCAGTGGTCCATGGTCCAGTTTTCCTCCTATGGAGTTGAAATAAGATAACAATGGTTATATGCACGTGGGTGCCTTTGCTGCCATTGGAATGAAGCCATCATGGTGGTCAATGGCTCAATAGACATTCAGCTATGATTTCCGTTATTCATTTACAGACTGTAAATGAATTGCCACTGTCCTGTCCTGAAACTGCAGTGAAGGCATTGCAATACTGAGCCATTGCGTGAAACTTTCAGCGTGTTAATGAACTCGATGGTCTCAAGGCGTAACCATAAACAACAGGAGACGCAGTTCTGACGGTCAGGCCAAGCTTTAGGTGTTGTATGCACAAGGCAGTGGTTGATGTACGGATGTTACGTTGACAAAATTTTGCCAATTCCGATTCTGAAACTGAGGGCTGTGTGGGTACTACATCACACAAGGAACTTTTTGTCATATTGATGTGGCCATTTGACTTTGCTTGCATGCATCCTCTGCTGTGCAAATGGCGTCTGGAATTGCAGTGTGAGATCATCTCTTTGTTTTGCAGCAACTCTCCTTTCACTCATTTGATGTCCGCTTCTGCTGGTGCGGTTGCCTCGTCGATTGTCCGGGTGCCAACAGACACGATGAGGCATCGGGTGCAGGCATACATGCACTCCAACATATTCCAAGCTGGAATTTACATTGCTCGGAAGGAGGGAATGCGGGGACTTTATGCTGGCTTCCTGCCGACACTGCTCAGAGATGTACCTGAGATCGCTGTGCAGTTTGCACTGTATGAACGGTAGGACATCATAAGCAGTGGTGTCCATGTTTGTTTCAAGCCAAAACTACCAAGAGCTTACAAGAAGACTGCCTTGTCGATGCTGCTGCTATTGTGTTGAGATTGTCTTCGATTTCGAGTTACGAACTTGTGAGTACAAAATCTGCCTTGCATCTAGTTCTTGCAAGGGTGTGGTGTCTTCTAGGAATTGCCGATCTTGCCTGGTGATGCTTGTTTCACTTTGGTTCTGGGATGTGGGACAAAATTCTTCAAGTCACACAGTTATGTGTGTTGGTGCTGCCATGCTCTCTGACAGTCATTGATTTATTCTGCATCAGGCTTCGTGTATCTCTGGAACGCCACCGAAAGAAGAGAAAACTGCAGACATGGGAGCATCTGATTTTGGGAGGTGGGACAACACACTGTGTGCATGCTGAAGTAGGGTGTTGGCAATGGTAGCTTGTGTCCTCTACCACCAAGATAGTGGGGCGATCGTTGCGGCACCCATTCCTTGACATAGGATTGAGTGCATGGGCAGTTATATGGGCCCTTATGGTACAGATGTGCAAACGCAACCTATTGCATGGCCAGAATGCCATGCACTATCTTCGTTTAATCAGCATCCAGGACTTCATGCACAGCTGAAGGGCAGTATTGTGTGGTCTGCAACGTAGCACCTGGGGTAGCAGCCTGGTTTCATGTATTGTTGGTGGGCAAGTGACATTTTTGTTGTTGTCCCCATTGTGTTTGAGAGGCATATGTCGTTCCTGTACTTGGGTGAGTACCCAAGTATATGCCCACCTGCATGGGCAGCAACATTACTGGATCTGCGCAATTTCTGTATCTTACTTGAGATAGATATCCTGCCCATCATTCACGGGTCAGTGTGAGCCCCAGGCTTGTCAGCATATTTTACGCAGGGACATCTGATCAGTTGTCTGTGTCGTTGGAGGCTAGTCGATTCATCTGTTAAGTGTGGACAGATGGCCGCTCACGTAACGATACATCCTAGTGCTTTGCTTGGCTGTCCACGATGTGTTCTTGGGATTTTTTTTTTAAAGTATTCATGGGCACCCAATGCTCACCTACACTCATTGAGAGGTTGGTTCAGTGGCTGCACTTCCTGTTGCACAGTAGACAGCGGTCATGACTTCTACTGGTGCCTTTTCTGTGCTGTTCTGCCTTGACTACCATTTTCGTATTTGCAGGCGCTTGTGGAGCCTGTGCTGCCGTACTGACCATGCCATTGGATGTTGCAAAGACCACGATGCAATGTGGCCGCACCAAGGCACCTTTGATCCAAGCACTGACAAACACTTTGCGCGACAAGGGCGTTAAGGGATTGTTTGTGGGCATGGTGAGCTAAGGGGTGGGAGCCTTTTGTGCCCACATGCACAGGACAATAGGAACTGGACAGTGGGCATTGCACAAAACGGAACTGGCATCCCTTGCGTTCAGCTAAGAGCTCACAAGCCTAGTCACACATCTTTTGATTTACTCATCAGTACATAGACACAGGTATGCACAGGTGTGCACAGGTATGCACAGGCTCTCAACTTCTCAGCCATTAAAGTCCCACAATCCCTGAAATCAGCGATGGCCCAGGAATGAGATCGACGACCAAAGCGTCTATGTCCTGCATAATGCGTTCTTGAGGAAAGCTAAGAATTGCAAAGAGACAGTTGTTTGTCCTGAACCTTCATATGCATAATGTTTTCCTATGGTTTGTGACACCAGCCCCCTCGTTGTTTCCTCCTTTCACCACTTCCTGTTCAGAGTTCCAGGGCCTGGCTCATCGCACCTGGCAGCCCTTGTATCGTTGTGTTTCACATCGTCACTGTGTGGCTTGATGCAGTATCCACGAATCACACAAGTTGCAACCATGTCAGCAGTGTTCTTCACCCTATTCGAATTCTGGAAGCTCCAGCTCAAGCCTGTCAGGTATGTGTAGAAGGACCGTGGAACTTTGAAATGTTGGCCAGGCATCCATCACCCCACACAACTACTGTGTATGTTGTAACTCAGGTATATACCCTGGTGGGATAGTGGCAGGCCGCCATGAATGCGACACAGCTTGTCTGGGTGTTACATCCTGGGGTTGCAGCTGCTGAATGGTTTGGGAGCTGTGCTCATTGTGCAAGACTTACTGGCACAGGTCCTCTCGTGGAATGTCTCAACTGCGATCATCGTGGCGAGCGCCAGCCCACTTCCAGACACTGATCCATCTGCACACCATCTAGTTTCCTGCCCACATGTTCAACTGTCATGTGTGTGTGTGTGTGTGTGTGTGTGCGTGTGTGTGCAGGTTTCGAGAGCCAGGGGACAGGCTACTTTCACCAAAGATATATGGAAAGCGCCGCACGAAAGTGTGGAAACGGCAGTTTGTCGTTTCATAACGCTGCCGTCGCATGGGACTGCCCCCGAGTGGGGAGTTAGAACTCAAAGCCCTCTGGTCGTAGTAGGCTCTGCAGCAGTACATGGATGTCACCCATGAGAAGAAAATATTGGGCAAACGTATGAACGAAGTACATTGATTGTAGGGGCGCCGAAGGGGTATCAATTCTTATTTATTGGCTTAACAGTGCTGAGACGCAATCAGGATGTTTAGTCGCTCGCAGCATCTAGAATTTTGCCTAAATTTGAATTAGTTCAACAGTGAATTCTATTCTTTGAGAACGGAATGTTCGCTGTGTAGTTGTTGTAACGAATGCAGCACCTTGTTTTGGGCCTTGCACCCACCCCTTTGAGTCCGTTCCGTTCTTTGCAGAAGATGTAGTCTCTAGGTTGGCAGAGTCGTGTGAAAGTTGGGAAAAGTTCTGTTACCCTGGACTTTGGGCACTGGTCTTCATGTATCTTCACAACGTGGTACTCAAGAGGGGAGTGCGCATTTCATATTGACATGGACAGGAGGGTCGGCGACCCGCAGCGCAAAGCACTTCGTGGAAGGGTGATGGAATCCTCTCGACAAGTTGTGCCAGAGCCAACACCAAGCTGCCATGTGATTTCTGTCGCGTGTCTGTGACGGGTCGTGACACCACTGTACAAGAGCGCTGCACTAGTGCTTGTGCCACTATGATGTCAAGGGCATTGCTCACGTTGAACTCCAGGGTGGTTGCTCACCACTGAGAAGTAGGAAGACTCGTTAAGTGAAGGGGCCAACTCTGTCAACTGTCCGCATGCACAGTTGAAACAAGTTATTCAGGTGAAATACTGCCTCTGTCTCGAGAGTTTTGTCCGATCTCCAATCCGTGCTGAAACTTTGCAAGATCAATTCAATCAGTCAATCCATCGCCATATTTGGATTCCTTGGTTGATTTTAGTTTGACGTGGAACTCGATTGCATTTGTCGTCACAGTACAACATGACATTCACAACCTGATCAAAACTGCCCGTTTCTAGTTTCATGCAGGCGCCCAATCCCCCACGTTGTTGCATTGGCCTTGCTATCGTATGTCCCAACCCGTTCCTTTAGAACTCGTCAAGAGAGACAGCAAATAGGCACCACTACGTTCTTTCAGGAGTATCGACATCATTGTTGTCATGCATTTTGGTGATCATCGCTTCCAATAGATTGAACCATGTTTCCATTTCTTTTGGCTTTCAACGATGACCGTGTTTGCCTTCATCTATGGTGTTTTCATTGTTGATGTAAGTATGTACGGTCATCCAGGCCTTGGCAAATCTGCAAGATAGATGCTCTTGCACTGATCAAGGTGTCTCTTGGCGTTGGCCGCCACTTGCGCGCAGTTCTTGTTAAAACGCCAGATTTGGGGTTATGGATACGGATCCTTTTCCTTGCAAATTTTGTTTGGGATCGAGCTGCAACTTCAACGCATACCAAACCAGCGAAGCATACCCCTCTCCTAGTGACAGCTCAGCTAGATACATCACTGAATCAAAGGGCAAGGCAAGCATGTTGTGCCCCGCCCATTACCCCGACAAAATGCAAAATCGTATTTCAGCTCCTCCTGGCACATCACAAGAACGGCAACTTCAATTAGAACGTTCCAAAGCTCTATGGGTAGCTCTGGACATGGCGCTTCGAAGCTCTTTCAGTCAATTTTCTGGCTCGCACGTTCTGACCTCCGACGGTGCAAATTGGAGATCGGCCATGACTTTTGAGGTAGTGCTACAACTGTGCTAATAAGATCACCTTCAGGTCAGGCCTTTGCATTCATCACTCTGGCACGATTGCAAAATGAATTACGATGTCATCTTGTCCCATGCGACGACAGAGATAACAATCGTTGACTGTTGACACTTGGCAAAAGAGCAGCCGGAGTATGTTTTTTGGTTTTGTGGCGCCACACACCAAAAGGCAACGAAGCTCAAGAACTCAAAATGGTTCCCCCACGTCTTCCCAACTGTAACTGTGATTTGTGAGTGTTGGCCTCTTCTAGAAACAAAGTATAACTTGTTCATTGAAGTCAGGCTGCCATAGCCCATGGCAAGCAAGGCATCGCTGACGAAGGATGACAAGAACAGGGGGAGGTGGGGGTGGCTCGATTGTTGTTTTATCGCACTGTAAAGGGCGAAACAAATACCATGTGCACGCCATGTGTTCCTTTGCCCAATGGCATTGCCGCGAATTGAGCACACCCCAAATCATGGTTCGGTAGTGAAGGCGTAGGCACAAAATGCACAACACTGACTCAAACAGGCCACATTTGTGGCCATACTGTCATATGCAGTCCCCAAAGTGACGGCAGCCGCCCATTGCCACCCGCAGACCTGGAGGTGGGCAGCAATCCACGCTTGTGGAGGGGTGCATCCCGCAAGCTGCCCCTTTGTATCGACTCATCTTTTTTCTGTGGTTTCCTCCATATTCGCAGTCGATACAATTGCTCTTTGTTAAATATAATGACCAGCATTAGAATATAATAGTTTCTAGATGCTGGTTTAAAGGGGCATTAACATGCATTTACATGCATACTGATGTGCGAAGGTTACGGGCTGGAAGATGAAGTCAATACAAGGACAAGCTTGATGAATCTGGCCGGAAGAAGAATATGATGATTTTGGTGGAGGCAGGACGTCTATGAATTGTCAGAGATGTTTCGAATTGGGAGTCCCATAGGATGCGAACTTTTCAGGACAGGATGGAATGGATAGTGGGGATTGGCATGGCAGCTGAATATGAGCGAGATGTGATGAAAGGGGAATGTCAATCATTGTAAGATTGACTGAGTGAGAAGTATGTGAAGTCGAAGGATGATTGAGTCTGGGTGAATGGACTATGGCTGTGCCATGCATAAGTTTCTTTGGAAGACCCACTTCAAGAACATTGCATTATTGTATAACCGTGAGATTTCGAAGCGACAACTGTCCTTTTATACAAGAAAGGAGACTCCAAGGATATGGCAGGAAAGAGCGTTTGCCAAAGATTCGATATGGCCTAAGGTGTACCACGGTACATGGAAAAAAGACGGTTGAAAAGAAACGGAAAAGAAGACATATGTTAGACATCACCAGTGATCGAAAAAAAAAAAAAAAAGCTAATAAGATTAGGCTAAGAATGCGCTTGATGATACAAGTCGGATGTGACAAGCCCATGCGACTACAATAGCCTGTTACGACTACAAAGATAGTGGATATTCAAACGACGCTATGCGCTGAAATCACTAGAATGGGTTTGGAATCCGTATACACGCGATTAACGCCCAAAACGAGGGTATGTACCAGCGTCGCTTGATGGCAAGAGTGCACACCGTATCATCCTGCGGGGCGAGGCAAATACGCTCGATCGCTGGCCGTCCGTACTGATAGATCAGCAAAACAATTTTGGAAGAGTCAATGGACTCACTTGCGGCCAATAATGGCTGAGGGGTTGAATCAGCTCAATGATTCAAGATAACGAAAAGACAGGCAATAAAGGAATTGATTCACAGAGGGGATGACATAAATAGTCATGGAACATAGGGGCTGGTGAGGGGGCAGGGCCTCATGATCATCCGTAAGGCCGCCAAGTGCAATGCCCTGCAGTGCACCATGAGTCACACTCCTGGCCAATCTGATGCCAGCCATGTGTGCGCAGTCACACCTAGACGTATGTCCTGACATATTGGAAAGTGTGTGCAAGTACGCCGTACGTTATGACGTACCGCAAAAAGGCACATGCGCAGTCATGCGCTCCGTCAACCTTGGTAGCCGTACGATCGCTCGAGAGGGTTCCCTGGGGACCCGTTCCGGAGGGATAAGAGAGCGCGGGAAAGGATGTCTCGGCGCGAAGGGCGAGCGGAACACATCGCCCCCGAACGGCCTGACGAGTGCGAGGAAGAGACCTGGACATGGCAGACCTGGTCGGCGCGCCATCCATGGGAATGTTGGCCATGGATGCCCTCGCTCCGCCACCTCCGGAACCGAGAGTCAACGGCCCGCCTCTTGAGGTTCAGGCATGCCTCCGCGAAGCCCTGGATGGATCGGTGGGCATGCCGTTACCATGGACGGCCCCGACGGGAAGGGGCCTGCCTCAGTGGTGGGCCCGCGCTGCTTATGAGTGGACTTGGCGTTGGAGGCTTGAGCGGACAGACCAGCCGCTCAGGTTGAAGATTCGTGCCTTCGTTGTGTGCGCAGTCCCAACATTTCGTTGGGGTCTTGCGCTGCGTCAGAGGGTGAGGATCCGCCTCCAGGGATGCCGAGGGCGTTGGACTAAGGAGCACAATGAAGTTTGGACGATCGCGGAGCGCGATACAATGCACAAGAAGCCAAAGGCTTTTGGATACAAGGGGGAAGGTCCAGCCATCCACCCCGCCGAAGGCCAAGGAGGTGCGCCGTTGGCATTTCTGCTTCGGTCGGAGGATTTGCGGTGGGAGGTGGTCGCCGCCTCCAAGGTTAAGGCGTGGATAAGCTTCCGCGGAACCTTCCCCCTTGTTGATTATTTGGAGGGGATGTGGCTGGCGAACGCCTTGACCCGTCGTGAAGAAAAGCAAGCCGACAGGGCGAGGAGATTGGCGCTTGAATCCCAGTTGCCGCCCAGTTGGACGGTAACGTACTGGGAGCGTTTCAACGAACGACTCCGGCGGGGGACCCCAAGTGCCCGCGCGCATGCGGAGGAGGCGTTTGCATGGGGCCCCGGCTGGGTGCGCCAGCCGGGGGACCCCAATTACTATGGTAACCGAGAGTGCGAGTGGTGCACAGCGGACTCTATGTGTCCCATGTGCACCTTCGCACGCTCGAAGGGCAAGACTGCTGAATCTTTGGTCACCACGGATGAGGAGTGGGTAAAAAGGGAGAGCGAGGGCGTTGTGGGCCCCCCCGGATGGGAGCCGTGCCAGTTTGTTCGCCTCGGGTTCCTGGACCAAGAAGAGGATCCCGGCCAGGGAGGACTGCAAGGAACCGGCGCGCATGGACATGCGCAGGCTGCGGACGAGGGGCGGGGGCTGGCGCGCGATGGCGA